CCCTCCCTCCCTCTCACTCTCTCTTAAAAAAAAAAAAAAAGAAAATATTTTTTTCCTTTATTCTAAAGGTAGCTAATACATACTAATGAAAAGAGTCAAACACTACTAAGGAGGTTACCACAAAAATTATCAAAAGTCTAATTTTTTATTCAGAATAATGAATGCATTTAGTTTATACTTATGTATCTTGATTCATATTATAAATATTTTGGAGAGAATTTTGTAGTATGTTTAAATAAAGATTATTTCAAAGATTTATCCTGGTGAAAATATTTTAGTTTACAAAATAAAATATTTTGTAACTACTGTATATTTTTCTATCTTAAGATCATAAAATCCTTTACCGGTCATAACTCAGCAGTCCTCCCGGCTTCCACTCCTACCCTATCTTCATTCCCAGGTCTTATTATAATGAGTACTGAGAAAAATAAACCAGCTGGGTAACTGCAAACCTGCAGATATTCATATATAAGTGGGAAACAACTTTAGCAAGTGCAGAAGGCAGTTGGTAGTGGGATACCTAGTCATGGAGCACTTTTTCCAGTGGTTCCCATGCTATATTCATACAAACTCCAGAAAGCTAAGGTATCCTTACTAGGTATTGTAAGAAGCTAGCTGTACCAATCAAATTCCAACCTTTAAGAGATTAAGACATAAATTTTGCTTAAATAAATGTTACTAATGTAGACATAGCCTATTTCTGTTTTATCAATCCTGGAAGAATAGAGCATGTGGATTAGTTTTTGCTATTGAATTCTTTGTGAAAATATGCAAGGTAATACTGATGCAGTATTGAAAAATATTAATAGGTCTTTTTTCTTTCTTGTATGAAAAGGAATGCACTATTTACATATGGAGGCTCCTGTTAAGGTGATTCACAGAGATCTCAAGTCAAGAAATGGTAATGTAGTCATATTTTTTTTACACATTACAGATTACATGCACCTGTATATAGAAATAAGGATCATGCTTTATTTATCCTTTGTTTCCTGATGTTTGACTCACTACTGATACCATGAAAATTTTCCACTGTTAATAAATATCAAAATTCTCTATATTGTTTGAGGAAGCTGCATAATGTTCCACTGTATGAATATAGCACAGAATGTGGACAATTTGGATTGTTTACATTTTTTCCTATGATAAGAAATGTTTGGTTTAATACCTTCCAGCCAAATTTTTCAACACATCCCTAATTTTTCCTTGGAGTCATTTCCTGAAAGAGGTATTGCTGGGTCAAAGTGTGTAGTCATGTATTTTTAGTTTTCTATGTTTACATGGTTCTCTGTACTAGCATTTTTGAGTTTCATTTCTGTTACTTCTTCATTATATGGTATAAATTTTTATGTCACCCTTGCCCATATTACCTGGAATAGTGCCCAGAAATGATCAGTATGCTTAGGAGTTTGGAAATAAAAGCCTTTTTTCTTTTCCTTCTCTACTTTTGTACTTTCTATAGTCTATTTATGATTCTTTGTTTTATATTTTGGAGAGTGAACATTTTAAAATAACTTTCAGTTAGACATTACCTTCAAGTAGGAATAGTAACAGTGCTTCTTCCATTACATCACTTCAAAGTTATGGGAGAAAGGCAGTAAGATTATTTAGCTATAGCAGAACTAGCTCAAGCAAACATCAAAGTTTGCTCCTTTAAAGAAAAAAATCTCTGTATCAATTACTTTTTTTTATTATTTCCAAGCAACTTGCAGTAAGGAGGAGAATTATTTATTTTAAGAAAATCTTTAGGTCAGTGTTGCAAAAAGGGGTGTTTGATAGTAGTGTGCTTCTTAGAATGGGTAGCTATAGCAAGTAGAGGAGGAGGACCAGGGAATGAGCAAGGTATGCTTGCTCATACTTAGGACTGTGAGGTCTGACTGGGACGGGTGGGAGAGATGGGGAGGAAGGAAAGTTGTTGGCAGCTGCCCCTCTTCAGGAGCCCAGGTTAGACCCCCAACCTAGCCCATTTGACTCTGCCTGACTATCTTGCCCTCTTTAAGTCATCATTTATCCTTTGGCTCATCTTAGAAGCTTCCTGGAGCTAAACATTCTTGATATAAATGACTAATAGGAAATCATTAGGAAATAATCTAGAATCTATTAGGAAGTATCAGAGTTCTGTGTCTGGAAATTTTCAGTTCATGCTCTTAATTTCAATTTAAACAAGTTATTTGATTTCAGTAGATTCTATATCTTCCACAAAAGAATAAATTAACCAATTTGTGGGTTTATCTATACTGTCAGTATGAAGACCATATAATAATGGAGAATTTTACTTTACCATTTTAAAAAATTATAATCTGTACAGTTATTTGATAGGAGCACAAAACTCAAATTGAAAAAATAAAGACTCAGTTTTTTGCATTTTTCCCCTGGAGAAGAAGAACAAGAATTCTAGTTTCTATGTTATACATTTTTGTAATGTTATTTTTAAAACTATTTGTTAATCTTACAATAAGAGAAAGCACTGGAGATTTTCAAAAACAATTGAATGTAATATTAGCAGTATTTACATTTTTATTTGCAAAAGTTTGTAGCAAATGTCTAACACCATGTTTACCCCAAGGCTATTTCTACATATGAGGTCATGCAAAGATTATTTTCTCCATTTATCAAAATCATTAGTAGCAGCTAATAAAAACCTGTACTGATTATCTACCATGTTCAGGCAATGCGTGGCTTACAAAAGAAATACCAGAAGCAGTACTTCAGGATTCTGTCCTTGGCCTTATCTCCTCTTATGGTCTTATCCTCCCACTCCCACTTACACCTTAACATTCCCTTGTAGGTCTCAATTTCAAAACTCTCTATCTGCTTATTAGACATCTGTGTATATATTTTATATGACCCTAAAATGTATTTTGTCCAAATTTTTTCATCTTCTCCTTCAATCCTAAAAGACTATTCCTGCATCCCTCTGCCAGTGACTGGCAGTACAGTTGCCCAAGACAGAGATTAAATAATACAGAATTAACCATTTAAATCCAGAGCTCATATTCTAACCATTAAGCTGTTTCACTCCATATCTGCTTTCATCCTTGAAACCTTATGCCCAATATCCAGCTATTCATCCAGCCTCACTGATCCTGTCTCCTGAGTATTTTTTCTCCCCCACCCTTTTTCTTTTTACTTTTCAAAATTCGAGCATTCTAGTTTAATATAATAGCTAGGTTTATCCCTACAAACCAAACATGCATGGAATTCGATTTTAGTTCATATTCTCCCCCTTTCCCTTTCTCCTTCCTCTCCCCATTCTCCTTCCTTGACTGTACTTGATCCTCCTTTTACTCATCTATTAATTTATTTTGATTGATTCTTTCTACTTATACCTAAAGGTGAAATTAATGAAATTATGGTATTTGCTGATAAATGAATGAAAATGGAGAACATTGTGTTAAGTGAAATATGCTAGTCTCAGAAAATCAAAGTTGAATCAAAGGTCAGATCTCTCAGATGTGGAACCTTGAGCAAAATAAGGGAAAAAAGGAGGGAGGAGGAGGATCAGCCACCATAAAGAAATAGGGAAGATCAGTAGTGTAGAAGAAGGAGATCTTGAGGGAGGGAGGAGGCATGGAAAAGGAGGAGAAATGCAGAATGAATTTTTTAAAATCATTGTATGTGTATGTATAAATACCACAGGGAATTTCACCCTTATGTCCTGAGTATTTCTCGACTCACTATTTCTTTCATGTCCTTTTTCACAGCACTAGCACTGTCATCCTCATCTGTCACTTGGGCCACAACCTCTTGCATGCACAGCTCCCTCTTTGTCTCTGGTTCTCTTCTATAACATGGTCTGCTTCCTGCACATTTGCTCATTTCCTTTCTTCACTGAAAATTGTTGGTTGACTTTCCATTTCTCACAAGGGCTCTTCTTTACTTGACCCTACCTCCCCAAGTTGCCATGCCTTGTCTTCTGCTCCTGAGGTTTTGCATAGATTCTCTTTCTGCCCAGAAAACTACTTTCCTCCTCCAGCACTCCTCATTTCTAGTTAGCCCCTACATTTTTTGGTCTTTGTAAAAGCATCATTTCTTCCTGAAAACTTCATCTGACCTCTGAAGACTTGGATATCCCTGTGGGTTGGGTCCATAATACTCTCATTCTCTCTCATCGTGGAATTTTTTTTCACTTTGTTGTTGATGTTTAATTTTCTCTCTGATCAGACCATAAACTCCACCAGAGCCAAGACAGTGCCAGTCTCATTCACCTTCTGTATAAAGCATATACATGGCTGTTGCCAGAGTAGATATTCAGCAAATAGTTGTTAAATGAATGAATGAATGTATGAATAAGGAAATAAGTGAACATTGTCTCTGCATTTAAGAATATTATTTTGGGGGGCTGGGGTTGAGGCTCAGTGGTAGAGTTCTTGCCTCGTACGTGTAGGGAGCTGGGTTCGACCCTCAACACCACAAAAATAAACAGACAAAATAAAGGTATTTGTCCATCTACAACTAAATTTTTTTTAATTTTTTAAAAAGAATATCATTTTTCAAATTACAAATGGTCAACAAATATATGAAAAAATGTTCAATATCCTTAGCAAACAGGGAGTTGTAAATCAAAACTACACTGAAATTTCATCTCACCCCACTCAGAACAGCAATTATCAAGAATACAAATAACAATAATTGCTGGTGAGGATATGGGGAAGAAGGTACACTTATACATTGTTAGTGGAACTGCAAACTAGTACAACCACTTTGGAAAGCAGTATGGAGATTTCTCAGAATAATAAGGATGGAACCATCATATGACCCAACTATCCTACTCCACAGTATTTATCCAAAAGATTAAAAAAAATCAGCATACTGTAGAGATACATGTATTCCAGTATTTATAGCAGTACAATCCACAATAGCTAAGTTATGGAACCAGCCTAAATACTCATTAATAGATGAATGAATAAAGAAAATGTGGTACATATACAATGGAGTTCTACTCAGCCATAAGAAGAATGAAATAATGTCATTTACTTGTAAATGGATAGAACAGAACATCATGCTAAGTGAAATATGCCAAACTCAGAAAGTCAAGGGTCAGATATTTTCTCTATGCAGAAGCTAAAGAGAAAAAAGTAATAAACAAAAGGTATCTTGCAAAAATACAAAGGAGAACAGTAGAGTAGAAACGGGGGGCTGAGGGAGGAGGAAAGGCAAAGGGGATGAACTGGGGAATAAAGTTGACTAAGTTATGCCATGTGCACGTATGAGTATATCACAATGCATTCCAATTATATATAACTACCAGTTAAAAATAAATAGAAAGAAGATCAGTAGAATAGAGGGGGATGGGGGAGAGGAGAATGGGCCAGTACTGCCGATTGAAATTTGGAAAACTATGTACTATGTATTTGTGAATATGTCAAAGTAAATCCCACCAATCATATATAACAACAATGTACTATAAAAAGAAATTAAAAAGAAAATTATTCTTCAGTTGAGAGAAAGAACTGTATATACCATAAAGTAATGATGCTAATGATTTCCTCAGTATCATATTGGCAGTCTACCAGCAGAACCCAGGTAAAAATTTGGTTCTCCTAACTACTCTAATTTGGTGCCTTTTTTACTGGACAGTACTGCATTTGTTTATATCAAGTGTCTTAAAAGCCTTTTAAGTCAGCACCTCATGGAATTAAGCTTTTATTTTAATGTCAGATCTCTTTTGCAAAATCTTTAATGTGGTAAATATTTTGATTTTTGTCTTTTATAATATCAAATTAGAAATTTAACATTGAAGCTAGAAATAGAAGGTTATGCTTTTTTCAGTATAAGACAATTTAATAGGTAGATGATTGTCATACTTTCTTTTTTTTTTTTAGTTGTTATAGCTGCTGATGGAGTATTGAAGGTATGACTCTCTTTTAATTTAAAAAAAAAAAGATTTTTTGAACGTCTGATAATTCTCTTATTAGTCACTAAGTACAAAGTTGATCCTGGTTCCTCTGTTCTCAGATCTGCGATTTTGGTGCCTCTCGGTTCCATAACCATACAACACACATGTCCTTGGTGGGAACTTTCCCATGGATGGCTCCAGAAGTTATCCAAAGTCTACCTGTGTCTGAAACGTGTGACACTTATTCCTATGGTGTGGTGAGTTCACTTCTTGTTTCTTGTTTGCTAAAGGAAATGCAGAAACAAAACGGCCTAGAGAAGAGAGACTTCATAATTGAACCTGGTGTTGAGTGGTACAGCTGTTTTTGGAGGAATGTCTAAAGCTGAGGCATGGGGAGAACACGTCCCAGTTGTTGAAATGTGTGCTTTTATCACTTTTATGCATCTGAGTTATTTATACTGTGTTGAGACGAAAGCAGTACCACTTCCAAGAAACAGAACCTGAGTTAGTGTCGGGCCCAAGGCTCTCCTGCAGAGTGCTTTTTTGCTAGGTGAAATACAACCAGAGACTATCTCTGTAATTCAGGGGAAATGTAGATCATTTGGAATAGGACTTCTGTATGATTTTATATTGCTTGATTTCTCAAGCAATATAAAACCAACAATAGACATGCCAAGTGAGTTAATTAATAGGAAACTTTTGAGTGTCAACTATTAAAGTGATTAGTGAGTTTCTAAAAGTACAAAAGAAAATGTACTTGGCACTTAGCAGATGTCTACTGCAAGTGACAGAGTAGTAGTGACCAACTGGAACAAGAATCTGAGGTATTACAGGAGAATGACAACAGAGCATCAAAGAAGAATGGAATCCTGTGGAAGTGTGGGGAAGATGCTCAGGGAATAGAGACCACAGGAGGGAGCCAGTTAGGGAGCAGGAACTTATACAAGAGTGAGGAGATGGATCATCCTGGAAAAAGCAACCCAAGGTGGGAGCACATCTTGCTGGAGAAAGGAATTCATTTGCTGCCTTTCTTTGAGGATGAGTTCTATATTCCTTTTAAAAAAATCCAAAACAGTATTTGGAACTCCTTGTCTTTGCATCTCATCTCCCTATATTCATGCTATGTGTGCTACCTCTCTGTACCATTACTTTTTAAATGGACATTTTCATTGTAATAGGAAAAGAAGACCAGTTTGGGCTCAAATCAGCATGCTTTTCTTCCTGAAGTTATGTGTATTCTCACTGAAGGTACTACTAACAGCATAAGAGGAGGTCAACATGGGCAAACATGTTCCCTTTCTTTAATCAGTCTCTGGGTATTTACTGCTGGCTTCATTACACTTTGGTCTTTTTCAGTTGGCTAGATCTTTCTAAATCATAACATAGCCTATGTACCAAATTACTTTAATAGAGATGAGTCTTGTTGGCTATTGAAAAAAATCATTTCTAGAATGAAATATGTGTTTTGTCTGAAGGCTAGAATTTTAAAGGTTAAATGACAACAGTAACATCAAGCTAAATCTCCAATTCCTCATAGTGTTTCTAAGAATGAAAACTATACACTATTATAGATAGTGATGAAATAATTCTCACTGAAAAAAAGGAAAATAAGTAAAATGAAAATTTCAGAGACTGGATTCTAAAATAGGTCTTCTATGTCAAAGTTTACTACAGTCTAATCATTAGACTTTTTCATCTTCTGAGGATTCTGAAAATGGGGATCTGTTCTCTTATGAGGTTATGTTCCCTCATATTTAAGCAAAATTAATGTATTGAGTTAGGCACTGTGCTGGACACCAGCTTAGGGCAATTTAAATTATATGTGGCCTACTCACTGGTACCAGAACAAAAGGTAACAAAATTTTTCTGCAAAGGACCAGGTAGTACATATTTTTGGCTTTGAGAGCCACTCACAGTCTCTGATACATATCCCTCTTTGTGTTTTACACACCCTTTAAAAATAACAATCCTGCTCATGTTCTTTAAAAGACCATACTTTGCAGGCCCCACTGTGGAACAAGGAGACTTGGAAAAATAAGCAACATAGCTTATCTGCAGCTTGTGCCAGCTGACTGTTCAATAGCAATTCAATAGGCAGCCAGTTTTTACTCGTTTCATGTGCATATAAAAATATAAAAACTTGTATATCTACTGTCATGTATAACTAATTAGAACAAATTAGATATAAAGTTTACTTAATATACATATATACACAAGATAGTTTAATACCTTTTGTATTTTCTGTGATATCATATTCAAAACTGCTGTTTTGAATTTGGGGTTTATGTTCCATTCACTTTTTTTAATATTTATTTTTTAGTTGTAGATAGACACAATACCTTATTTTATTTATTTATTTATTTTTATGTGGTGCTGATGATCAAACCCAGGGCCTCACATGTGCTACGCAAGCGCTCTACCACTGAGCCACAACCCCAGCCCCCATTCATGTTTTTATAATGACATCTGATGCATAAATACCTACAAAAAATTATGTGGGAAATATATATATATATATATATATATGTATATATATATATATATATATATATATATATATATATATTTCCAAACATAATTTGATGGTCATGGTTTTTAAATTATTTTGCATAGTTATATGAATTAGAAGATTTGAGGTTTATTTTCACTCTACAAGGAATAAGAACTGGCTGCCTATGCTTTTACTTTGAAAATTTTCTCCAAGTCTTAGAATTTCCCTGTTAGAAATTTTTGATATAAAGATATAACTGTAAGTTATTCTCATATTATTAGTAATTCTTAATATTATTTCACTTATGAAAACAAACTCCATGCTACCTTCTCTCAAAGTCTTTCAGTTGCCCAGGCCTCTGATGTGAGGTGCACCTATCTACTCTTGATTAACTGAAGTTAATGACTGGGTTCCAAGAACCAAGAACAAATGCCTTTATGCACATAAGCCATAAAAGTTGTTGAGAGATGACTTTGGTTTACTGAGGTTAGGATCTTTCCTGTGTCTCTACAGTCCCTTTCAAACCTTGACCCCTTCTCTTAAGCACAGTCTGAGTCTGCCTTTCTGCAGCTGCAGGTGTTCAGTTTGTTGAAAACTTTCACTCAGGCAACTGGGCTCCACTTTCCAGAGGACCTGAGTGGATCTGTTTGTAGATTAGGCCTTCCATTTACTTGTTTACTGACCCTACCATTGGTTGGTTTGATTTGGTTTAACTGAGGAAGGAATTTAACAAATGCTTATCAAGTCATTCTCTCAAGTAGTTTAACTTATTCCAGCCAGCAGAACACTCCCTGGGTCGATTGACATTTGTACGCCAGACGTCACTCCACAGAACCTGTTGGTCCCTGCCACATGACAGTATCAGTATCAATCCACATTCATATTGGAGCCTTCCCTTATCTGGGGGGAACAGAAATGCCTCCTTAGTGACTCTGTTTTAAAACAGCTTCTATCATTTGTCTCTCTTGAAGTGAGAGAGGTTTGAGTCGGATACTGGTTTGCCTCCTGCAAAGAACTCCCATCAACAGAATTCCATTCAGAAAAATGTGCAAATACTAATTTAATTTTAAACAAGAATTCAAGATTGTTTAATTCTGACCCCTTCTCATTCTGTTTGTTCTAAATAAACATCATTAGTGAAAGAATAAGTACACACATGCTTTCCTAGAACTCTTTGGTTTAAACAATTGCACAATTTTTTTTTTTTAATGAAGGAAGCATTATGGGTTCAAAGAGCAGGAGAGGACAGTTGTTAAGGTTGGGTCCATGTTAGTTTTAGACTTTAGTGGTTTGAAAACCTTGAAAATAGTCCCTATCTAAGAAAACAATGTGATATAGAATTTTTTTGATGTCATTTTAAAATAGAGATGCATAGCCAAGACTTATTTGTTAGCAGGAGCATCTGTTTGCCTAACACATTCCACAGTTCATTAACAGCTTCTTCTGTTGATTGTAATCTCCCCCTTCTGTACAAGTCACAGGCAGATAGGGAAGAGTTGTCCTTATTGAAACCTCAAAAATGCAATGTAGTTTTACTCTTGATTTTCAAGATTTAGTTCCCTAATAACTCTCAAAAATACTAGCGCTCCCCAGATTGATAAACTTGTGTTATTTCTTAACACATGGCAAAACTAACTAGCCTTGTACTGCCTTAAAACAAATGTTCCCCCAGTGCCAGAAATGGATCTTGTGATCTTTGTTTCTAAGCTGGTAAACATTGCTGGGCAGGCAATTGTTTCTCTCTCCATTGATAAAAGGACATGTTTCTACTCTCTTATGATAACTTCTCTTGAAGGACCAAACCAGAAAGTGTTTGATGTGTAATCCACAAGAAAAAAAAAAAGCTTCAGAAAAGCATTGGAAGAATATGCCTTCTGAGAACACAAGGTCTCACCACCCTCTAAAAACAAAGCCATCCTAATGACAATGCAGAAAGGATTAGCTTTCATGAGGCTTCTCAGCCAAAACCAGCTTTAAAAACAGTAGCTCAAGAGACAGCCTCTCAGCCATGCTTGTCTGTGAGCCCTGTTCCAGAACCAGCCAGGCTCAGGTAATGGCTTTTTATTGTTTGTAAGAGAAAAAGCAGGAGAAGTCCACAGCCTCATCCAAGTTTCTGTTCTGTAAACTGAAAATAGAAATTTTCCTGTGAGCACAGTTGAAGTGTGAGGATGTCCCAATATACAATGAGTTGGAAAATATTTTTAAGGTGAAAGATCACGATAATATTTGGCTTATATTCTCCCAACTGGTATTTTAAGGCATCATTTAATATATTTTTAGACCTCCAAGTGACTTCCTCAGCTTAGTTAGTTTTTTGTGCCAAATGCCATTTTATTGAGTGTAGAAAAAGCCATCCTATCTTATACCACCTTCTTTTTGGTACTTTCCCAAATCTGAAGAATTAATAAAAGGAAATCTTGAAATGTGCTGATACTAGAATCAAACCAAAGACCCTATCTGGCAGTTCACTCTGCCATCGCCAGTTTTACACCCATCAAGTGCCTGCCTCCATCAGCTATGGTAGCTCATCTGCGACACCAAGAGAGAGTGAAATGAAATCTCCCTGTTTTTTCAGAGTTAGAGCTCTTAGAGAAGTATAACTTGGATCTTATCAAATTTAGGACATTTCCAGCAGAGTATCTTGAAATAAAGAATGAAGAATAAATAGCATTCTGATATTGTTTTCTCAAACTCCAGTGTTGCACTTCACCTTGCAGTATCCAGTTTGTGTGTGTGTGTGCAAACGCATTTGAGTATGCATGTGTGAGTATATAAGGTGTGTGCAGGCCAAACTAAGAAAGGAGGAGATGCAAGACTGCTCATATGAACATTTTGGGATCTGGAGCCATTGATTTATTTGAGGCTGATTACCTATTCCCATTCTCCTCAGGAATGCCAAATTCATTAACTTACTTGCTCTTCATATCCTTCCCTTCCCATCCCCAACACCAGTGGAGTGGTAATTGTGAATTGAGGGGCTTCATTTCCTGCCAGCCCATTCACTGCCCCACCCCCTCCCTGGTGCAGATGGAGTGTCGGGGTGATTGCATACCTGTGCTGGCTCCCACCCTTCCTTCCTTATAGCCTCCACTAGAATTGTCCCCTTCTGGGATGCCCCTTACCTTTTCCTAATCACTTGTGTGACTCAAATAGAATTATTCAGTAGCTCTTCTAAAGAAGTACCTTACACACTTGATTAAAAGCCCAAAGAGGCTTCAGTGGATTTTTTTCTCTTGCTTGAGCAGCATCTGCCAATTTCCCTGATTTTCCTTCTAATTATCTTCGTATTAGCCAGCATTCGTTTAACATGTTGTGGCTCGAAAGAGACTGAGCACTGGCTGAGGAAATAGTGAACATACACCTAAAGGTTTATAGGACTTATTCTAATAGAGCACATGTCCATTATCTATATTCTCATTTGAATATTCTCGTTTTGTGTTTTGAACAAGGGAAATCTAAACCTAAGCTACTGAGTCCTCTCCTTACTCACTGCTGCCGTAGCTCCGTGACTATAATGTCACTCTAGCGCTGTGGATTCCCCTTCCCTAGAATTCCCTGGGATTAGAGTTTGACCTTTAGAGCAAGTTCATATTCTGGCTCTGCCACTTGAAAGCTGAGTGTCTTTGGGCAAGTTTGCTTAACTTTCTAAAGCCTAGTTTCCTCACCTAGAAAATGAGGATAATGTCATTGACATTGATAAAGTTATTATTATTGATAAAATTTGAGTTGTTTGGGCTGGGGTTGTGGCTCAAGTGATAGAGTGCTCACTTAGCACGTGTGAGGCACTGGGTTTGATCCTCAGCAGCATATAAAAATAAAATAAAGATACTGTATCCACCTAAAACTAAAAAATAAATAAATAAAAAATTTGAGGTTTTTTTGTACTTTACAAATATTGGTAGACTCAAATTTTGGATGTACATTTGTTTAAACAGAGAAAATAACTGAGTTTCCCAATCTCCATCATTCAGTGTTTAGAGAAACCAAAATCAATAGTATTTCTGGTACCAGTTTTCTTTCTCTGGGCAATACAGGTCAGATTTACTAACTGTACTGATCTTAAGAATTGTGTAAGGTGAATACACATATAAACTCACATATACACAATCAGCTATTATGTGTCTACAGTGTTTATTACATTTTAGAAAATGGTATTGTAAATTATAGGTAGCTAAGAACGGATCCTTTAGACTGCCTCATTTTGAGAGAAAATTGTTCAAAACACAAAATCTAAATGTTATAATTTTGCATATATCTCCCATTGTGGGATAGATAGGTTTGCCAGTGATTTGGATTAGGGGCTCAAGTTTTTTGTTTTTTAATGAGACCATTATTGAACTTTTAAAAACATAGTTGCATTTCTAGTTTTTATTGTATAGAGAAATGTAGCAGAGATTGAAGGTAGAAAAAGTTTTAACTTTTTGTAACAAAACAAAAAAATCTAATTTGTGGGAATAGGTGAAAATTCTAGTAACTCATGAGATTAAGTTAAATCACTCAGGCCCATTAATTTCATAAAATTTTAAGTGTGGCTCTAGATAATCTAACTTCTTGACTAAGTTTGTTTCTATATTTTAAAAAAAAGAACATTAAAAGTATATAATACGTGAAAGAAGTCCTATGCATCAATATATATTTTGTCCAAGTTTCTACAGATGGGGTTGGTTGTATCTGGTAATTGGATACAATTAAATATTACGTAAAGTTTCAGTAATATACCAAAAATATAAAGTACAAGAATAAAATTCCGTTTTCTTTTTGTTCCAGGTTCTCTGGGAGATGCTAACAAGGGAGGTCCCCTTTAAAGGTTTGGAAGGATTACAAGTAGCTTGGCTTGTAGTGGAAAAAAACGAGGTAAGACTACGTTTCTCCATTCAGGTACATAGATCAGAAAACAGTATTGGGGTTTTGCAAAAGACTTTTTCATCTTCTTCAAATTGAAAGTAAGTTCACGCTTATGGAAAGATTAGCAGTAGGAGCTAACACAAAGGGTCAAAGTGATGTTATTCCTCATGAATGGACCCTTTACATCTAATTGTTGCAGCTTCACGTCGTGATGCTGTAGATCAAAAATTGTACAAGTACTGTACTAGTTTCTCAGTCTCAATTGTAAAACCTAGGGGTTTGTTCTTAGTGATGAAAGAAGCCATTGCGTCCAAGGTAGGGGAACAGTTTAACTCCATCTCCTGCGTTTAGGACATCTTTTTTACTGGCCGGGAGTTGATATATCTGTAAGAGACCTTCAGCTACTTCAACTTACCTCTCCCAGCAGGAGTCACTATAGTACAAGAAACTGTCGCTTAGATGAGAATTTCAAAAATAAAAGAAGAAAAAATAGTTTCAAAAAAGGGAAAAATTACAGTTTTGCCACCTACGTTGAACACTACATTGAAGATGAGCTCCTCACTGGAATTGGCGAGGCAGTGGCATAACTGTTCGCTTCTTCATGCAGAGCCTTTCCATTTCAAAAGAACTTCAGTGGCGTAAACACCGTTTGTGCTGTGTCCCCAGCCTCGCTTTTCTTCTTCCCACAAATTGAGGCTTTCAGTTAGTTGGACCTATGAGCCTACATCAGAGAACATGGCACATTCATATCAAAGAGAGCAACTACATTTTGAAAGGTTTAAAATTGTGCCTGAAACGCAGAGCCATGGAAATTCTCAGCATAAGGATGAAGCATCCAATATCAAGGTATTATAAGAACTTAGATCATGTAATGGAAGCATGCAGTTGTCTTTGCAAGGTGAAACAACTTTATTTCACAAAACTTCTTCATTTCCCAATCTTATCTGTGCCCTCCACAATGGTAAGAGTGTAGCCTTAATATAAAATAATTTTCCAAACAGTGAATATATGAAAAGATCCCCTTTTTAATGCCTTAAAAGAATTAGCTTGATCTGCTTCCCAGGTGAATGCAGGAACAAGCTGGATTAATCAAAAAGCTGCTATTGACTAGGAGAAACCAAGTTTACTTCTTTAAGGTCACATAATCCAGAGTTACCTTATTAATTTGTCCTCCTGACTCATTGGGGATGGATGAAATGTTGATGATAGCTGAACTTGATGGGAGAGAACTGCCTGTTTAAGAAATGAAAAGGAGTTGTGTGCAAGAGTGTGCCTTCCCCATTGTTTCACAGGAGCTGCTCAGTTTTAATTAGATGTGATGGCAAGTCCCAGTGTGCAGTTAAGTAAGACCTCACACACGGACAGCTGATGTTTTTAGGATATGAGAGCCTACTTATTTCTGTTCTATTTATTTTGCCAATGAGATGATTCAATGTTTGATTCAGGGCTTACAAATGAAAGTGAAGAGCATTATTGACCTTCTGTTGACTCTAGTGCAGAGCACCCGGGGTGATCTTGCCCACTACCTGCACTGAGATAAACCAAGAGAAAAGGGTATTTAAAGCTAAGTGGACCATCCAGATAAGTGTAAGACAGAATAATTAATATTTTAAAAATAAAATTTAGCTGAAGAATGGCAGAATAGGGGTAAATCTAATCTAAAGCATTTTTAAAACATTGAATATCAAAAGATGAAGAGAAGGATTGGCAATTACTCGTGCAGGACCTTCAGAGCCCCTTTAGCATTATAGTCGAGGATGCAGCCTTCCCTCCATCCAAGGATCACACCCGTTAGCTGTGGTCTGTTTTGATGATCAGTTTGTGATGCATGGAGACCTCCATACTGTATGTATTAAATATAGCAGCAAGTGGAAAGAAACCACATGTGATGTGAGTTCTCTCAACTTTCTAATGAATTTAAGTAAAATTTGGTATTATAGGGATACTTATCTGCTGTTTTCATTCTGCACAGTACTTATTGGTCAAAAACATGTAAATTAAGTTTAAATGCAGTTTTCATTGTCATTCAAGAAGGTATCTTCCTCTCACCTCATAAATTGGAGGTACCTGTTTACAAAACAAATTTTGTTGACATAGCATTAAGGTAATTCCCAAAGGTTGATTTCATTTAGTAACAAAATTGAGACTTAAAGAAATATAATGTACAAAATCTTTTCAGTTTCTAATTATTTTATTTTAATGCTGAGTACCTTTGGTTATTGGGTTGAAAAAAGGTAGCTGTATTTTTAACAGATCTCATTTAAATAAAGAATGATGTATTTAAACCATCAAGGAAAAATTTTAAATGTGGTCTAGTCACCTGTAATGTCTACATCCAGTTATTAGAGTTGCTTTTCTTCTTAACTTTCTATCTTTAAATAATTACAGACTCACAGGGATTTGTAAAAATATTGCAAAGAATCATCCCCATCACCCAGCTTCCCCCTGGTACCTTACATAGCTATAGGACAGTATCAGAATCGGGGAACTGAGACTGGCACATTGCTCTTACCTAGATGTGAGTCCTGATTCAGTCTCACCATTTAGGACTGCTTTTTGCATCTATAGGAAATTAGTACTTTCTAAAAATATATCTGAAGATCTTTGCTTCTAAACCCCTAATAATGAAATGTAAGACTTTAAACCATCTTTTTTTCCTAATATTAAATCTTACTAAAGCTAGATGCATAAAGTCCTGTTAAACTTAAAAAAGTAAACGGTGAACCCTTATGGAAGGCCTGGCTTTAAGAGGGCATTACTAAGGAGTTTTTAAATATACTCATCAACAGATGAGTATATTTGCTGTTGTCATTTCCATGAAACTCCATCAGTGGGCATTCAGAATGTTCTGGCAGCATAATTACTACACTTATAAATATTTAGATTCTTATGTAAAATGTGTTTTGTTCTAAGAAGCAAAACAATTTGATTAACGTAGAAATCTTCATAAAACAATTCACTATTCTTGACTGTACATTTGAAAGATAAAAATTTGACTTAAAAAGTAATTTTTTTATCTTATGCAGAATATGGTGCAAAAAAGGATGTGATTTTCTAAAAATGTCATGACTAATTGAATGATTGGGAAATATTTTAATTTTAAATGTGAATCTTTATTTAAAAATATTGTAAGCAGCACCACAAACCTGGTGCTGAGATCTAGTTAATCCAGAATGTTTTAATGCATTAGGAATGTCCACAGTTACATAATCAGGACCTACATGCTTTGGATTCTATTTTAAAGTACTTTTTAATGCACCAAAATAATCCCTTACATAAAGTGTTTTGGTCTAGATTTAACTGATATTTGACCATGTCAGATTATTTTAAATGATGTGAGTTTTTGTGTACTTTGTCAGATGTTGTGTCAAAAAAGTTTTTCAATATGAAAATATGACAGAAATCGTTATCCATATCAGCCAGTTCTCATTTCAGTTCATGGAAAAAATGTTGAGGTATATTGAAAAGTATTAATTGACCCTTTCCAAAAACTCATTATTTTTAGTTATATATGGAGTACATTCAGTTGCATAAATGCAATTATAATCTGTTTTTATTAGTCTCCATCTCTCAGCCATCTTATATTTTAAAAAATGAACACATGATTTTTCTTGATGAAAATCAACATTATAGTAAAATAATAGTACAGTTTAATACTCCTTTCTCTAATGTGAGATCATTAAGACAAGACATTTAAAACTATTTAGTTTAACCTTTAATTTGGAGAAGTTTGTTTTTCATTTTATTTTGTTTTGAGATTATCTATAATTCCAAATATAGACTTCTCAGCTTTCTTGCCAAGGCAACTGTTTTTCTAGTTTTACACATAACTTTCCCCAGTCCAACCAAGTTCAGTTTGAAGTTTCCGTTTGTACAGTTTCTTTGGTAGACAGTACTGGGGAAAAATCTTAGTACTTCATAGTGCAACAGTTCTCAACTCTATCACACCCAGAGCTCTCTTTATAACAACTCTATTAACAACCAACACACCTCTGAAAGGAAATTCAGAGAAACACAACATGTACACACGTTATATTTTGAGTCAGTAAAATGTTGTAATATAAAGGAGAAACTGAAATACATATTGCAGTGTACAAATGCTCAGGCATGACCCCACTAGAGGAACTAATGGGACGATTTTAGGTGCTTGCACCTGTGGCTAAATAGAATTCAATAGCTACAAATGCAGTCCCACAGAGTTGGGTTATATTAATGACTCTGGTACCAAGAGCAGCACTGCTCTTGGTGACAGTCTTCAAACTCTTGATAAGGTTATGAATAATGCAAAAATTTGATTTGTTTTATTTGGTAAATATGTTGTAAATCAGAGTTGGATTCTAGGCACAGAAAATTAGAAATCTCATTGTTTACTTGTTTGTTTGCATGAATGCACATAGGGCATTTGAAATTTGTGGGTTGCAAGAGAGTCCTTGATCATGTCGGACTTAATGGCATATTGGAGGAGGTCTAACACTTATTCATTTATATATTTATTTATAGTACCAGGGATTGAACTCAGGGGCACTCCACCACTGAGCCACATTCCTAGCACTATTTTGTATTTTATTTAGAGACAGGGTCTCACTGAGTTGCTTAGCACCTCGTTTTTGCTGAGGCTGGCTTTGAACTCGAGATCATCCTGCCTCAGCCTCCTAAGCTACTAGGATTACAGGTGTGCTGCTGGGGATCAAACCTAGAGTCTTGCATATACTACAAGGTACTCTGCCACAGAGCTACAGCCCCATCCTCTGCAGTCTTTAAAACAAATAAACAAAAAAATACCTTCTCAGTATAATGGTTTGGCATGTTCTATGACAACCACTACTGTAGAATGCTAGAATAGAATTGATGTTTGCATGATAATTTGTGTTGTCTCGGGTCCTTACAGTAGATGGGTGTGACCAAAGCAAAGCTATGAGTCATATATTCATAATGTTTTACTTTCCAATGAGAAAATGCAGAGTTTTAAAAAATTATCTCTGTAATTTTCTGTGCCAAAGATGTTTTCAGAGTTGTAAACCTCTTGCCAAAACTAAACTGGTTTCCTAGTTACTGGCCTATTTGCATTATTTCTTAAGTTGCTAATAAAAATACAGACTAAATCTATGGTTTTAGATTTAGTATCTAAGTTCCAACCTGCCCCTCTCCTACTATAGTTTCTTATAGTCTTGATCCTGTTTTATTGCATTTGTGCTGATGAACCTGATTCTCCATCCACTACAATTCATCTGTGAAGGAAAAAGTGGGAGTCTTTGGAGATTAGGTGATACAAATCTGAATGTAAATTCTCCCCTGTCATATATTAATCCATGGAGACTTCAGATTTCATATCTTGTTTATGCTATCAAATTAGCTCTTTTAGGGCCCCCTTTCAAATAGTCTTTGCTTACTGTAATGAGTAAATCCTATGATTTGTTTTGTTTTGTTTCCTTCTCTCTGTTGTAGAGACTAACCATTCCAAGCAGTTGCCCCAGAAGTTTTGCTGAACTGTTACACCAGTGTTGGGAAGCTGATGCCAAGGTATATTTTTTGGTTGTTCAGTATTCTGAATTTTCACTTGTTTGTTTGGTTTTGAGTTTTTAAAATTTGAGTAATAAAATCCATTACAAAGCAAAGTTGGATTGGTGTTCCCGTGAGCCCCAGCCTGACTGCTAAGGCCCTGTGTTGGCATCTGCTTATCTTGATCTCTAGAGACTCATTATTGACTCTTTTTAAAAGTACTCTTTGGTATTCTTTACTCAGTAAAAATAATTTTATTCTTTTGTTTTTAACCTTTAATAACCATTGGACCTCTATGTTATAAAAATAGCTAACATCACAGTACATTTTATATGCCATTGGTTCTAAGCACTTTGTATATATTAACTCACTTATTTCTTAGAATGTGTCTTTGAAATGGGTATTGTCATTACCCTCATCTTAGACATAAAGAACCAAAGCAAACAGAGGTTAAATAATGAGTCAAGGCCACACTGCTAGTGTTGAGCTGATATGGTAGGAGCTGATCATGAACCCCAGAAGTCTGGCATGAGGCCCAGCTGTGTTGCCTGCCTAACCAGAGAGCAGGCACAAATAGCACTTCCAGAGAATGTTGTTATGTCCTCCCTGTCCAGTTTCAGGGATGTTTTTTAGTTATCACAATAGAGTTGGAGAAATTCCAAAATTTGGCCTTTCTTGTGGTTATCGCATTTGAGCATGAATAGCCTGTTTCCTTTTCCTGCAAAGATCATTTAAAAGATTCTCACATACATATGGAAATATTTACAGATAAAGTGGTAGGCCAGTATTGGATTTACTTCAAAATGAGGTGAAGGCTAATGGATGCCAATATAGATTAAACCAGATTGCCCTAATAATTTCCAAAGCTCAGTGATAGGACATGGAGGTTCATTTCATTGTTTTCTCTACTTTTGTGTATGTTTGGAATTTTTCATTAAAAAGTTAAAAAATAAATAAGACTCTCACAAATTAAACATTGGAATAAGAGAGCATTTAAACTCAAGGAAGGAACAGAAATCTTCAGGTTCACATTGGTGCCATTTTTCATAGAAATAGGGTTATTTCTGACTTTTGAAATAGAGGCCTAAAAAGAAAGACTAAAAAGTAGAATTCTTTCCTAATTTAAACCCAGTTCTGGTCTGATATCCAGGAAGCATGAGTGATCACAACACATAGTCTGTTCTTCTACAACATACATCTTTAGTTGTGAGTAGCTCAGAAACTATTGGTGTGTATCAGACTGTTAGTGTGCCACAGAATTTATGTTGATTCATGCAGAATGTTTTCCAGCACATTGTTCCACACTGAGAGCGAAGTACAATAATGTAGCCTGTGAGGCAACCCGGTGCTGTGGGGCGCTTTCACTCCATATGGTCCTGCTTGGCCTGGTGTGGAAGTCTTGTTGCTGGTTCTCCCCAGCCACGAGCATTTGCCTTTGCCCTGGTGTCCAGCAGCTTCAATCTTTGCTGTCAGTCCTATTCTTCAAATTTATTTTGCCTACAGTTTTTTCCAAATTGAGTCCTATATTTACTCAGTATTATTTTATTAAAGATTTTAATATGTTTTTAAGCTGTATTAGTATTTTTATTTGGAATAATTATTTTATTAGTACTCAATGACAAAATTGCATGGGTTTTCAATGGTCTTTCCTACCCCTGTTTAGGTCCTATTATTTTTGTACATGATTTTACAAAATGTGGGTATTTTAAAACATTAAGAGAAAAGCCTACGCTTTGCAACTAATCCAGAAGATATTTGTAAGCTTGCTTAAAACATGGTATATTACCCTTACCCTACTCCTTCTATTAGTTACATAACCATTGTAATATATACAGTGATTTTGGTACTATTTTTTCTACTACTTCAACAGAAATTTTGCCTGAAATTATTTGTATTAACTTAGATTAATGCATATAGATCTGTATAATTGTAATTATATTTCAGTATGCAAAGCAAGTTTGTAATTTCTTTATTGAAAACTTGGCACTACATTAATCAAAATTCTAAGAACATATATTTATTGCTCATTAATTAAATAATAGTATAAAAACTTCATACAACAAGGACATTAGGCCCAACATTGAAGCCATGAAGTTGATATGTCTTTAACATGAAGTTAGTTGACCCTTCTTTGGGAACTAAAGAATTTAGTGTTTAGCCATGTGAAGTATAAAGAGAGTTTAAGATTGATTTTTATTTTCTCAATTCATGACATCTCTTTTTTTTTCTTTTTCTTTCTTTTTTTCTTTTTTTTTCTTTTTTTTTTTTTTTTTTGAGAAAAAGGAAAAAGAGGTTTCTTGCTTTGCTAGCAAAGGAGAAACACAAGGGACTCCTGTCCCAAAGACTGTGATTCTTCCCTTCAGCAGGAACAGGGGGCTTTTAAAGAGGCGATTCAAAGACTACATTCCATAGGTTCTCTGTTGGAGTTGTAATTTACTTCTTAATTTGGGAGATAGTAATTTCTGAGATCTTCTGGTACCCCAAAGTCTGGATTACTTCCTTTCATGACATTCTGATCCAACTATTCCATGCCCGCTATGAGGGGTTTGATTGCACAGAGGTTGCAGCCCACATTCCCACCCAATCATTGTTCATCTCCTCCAGATCACCTTGTGTACCTTCATTTCCTGAGTATGCTCTCTTCCTTCTGTCTCTCTCCCTGATACTTCACTATGGAGCCTTCCCTGACTACTCTGTTGTCTCCAGCCCAGGCTTAGTCTAGCCTCCTGTTCCAAACCACAGTCTGGACCACTGCCCTACTTGAACTGTGCTATTTTTAAAATATCTTTTTCCTTCCTAAATGCATTGCAAGCTCTAAGAGTGAATAGAACACTAATTCTTCTGTATTTCCTAAAAGCACTTTACATCAGTTTAGTACATAGATGTCCAATTTGTTGTTGCCTGAAGAAGCTGGACCACAGTACATTTTCTGGAAGGTAGATTTTAGTTCTCTGGCTAGAAATATGTAGCAGTTCAACCAGGAGCTGGTGCCAGTCCTATCATATATGGAGAGCCATAATTGGTATTTTCTAGAGTATCAACACCTAGATTGAAATATTCACCTCACCTCTAGGACTGATGTTCTTTTGTGATGAGGAGAGATGTATATAAAAGAAAGCTGGTATTAAGTAAATGTTGGGTCACTCTAATGGTTCATGACAGGTGCTTAAAATATTTTATAGAAGAAAGAATTAATGAATATTAATTTAAGTCTTAAAAGAACATTTTTAAATAAGGAAAAAGAATAGCTAAAGCCATAAGTTTAGTAAGAATACCTCATCCTTCTGTAATAAAAGGTGTGAAGGGGTTAAGAGCATGACTCCAGGTTGTGTAGATTGCTTCCTGTGTGATGCTGGGCAGTTCAGACTTTTCTGAGACTAGTTCTCCTTATCTATAAAATGGAGATAACAAACACAGAAAAAATAAATGTAGATGTTTAATAAATATTCCTAGATGTGGTATTGTAAAATAAACCAAATCTGCATAATACCTAAAAGGCACTTAAGCCCCCTCAAAGGAATGTCCATGAGAACCTAGATCAAATGTTTTATTGTGTAAACAGAACATTCAAAGATATTACCATAAAATTCTATACTGTTGTTGCATTTTTCTTTCTTCTTCTTCATTTTATTTATTTTTTTCTTTTTTGAGACAGTGTCTCACTGTGTTACCCAGGGTAGTCTCCAGTGATCCTCCTGTCTCAGCCTCATCAGTAGCTGGGACTGCAGGCACATGCCACCACACCTGGCTGTGCTATATTTTGAATGCTCGCATTGATCATTTCTGTCTGAGAGTAGTTGCTAGCTATAGAATTAAGATTTTTCTAGGAATGCTTGTCATCCAACTACAAAAGAGCATCACCTTAGAATAATTAAATATAGGGAGACATGTTTTTCTTTAAAAATTCATTAGCTTCTCCTCCTCCTTTTCCTTCTAAAATGAAAATCCTGTATTTATTATATAATTAATTCCTTGCAAATGAAACATTTTTTTTCTTTTAAAACATGACACATGGTAGGAGAAATTAGAGTAGGAACAAAGGTAAAGAAGACAAACAATATTTCTCAAGTTTCCTACTTCAGTCATTTTCTTCTTTATTAGAAGGCTTAATGTACACCAGTAACATTTAGCTACTACATTCTCTTGAAACATAACTCACACATGTGCCTTTAAGAGAGAACAATATCAGTGGAACTCAATAAATATTCCAGTTTTATATTTCTGAGAAATGAAAAAAAAATACTTTTCTTCATAATGTAGGAAGCATTCAAGTCCCAAGAGCAAGCCACCTCAACATTGTTCCTTCTTGTTTTTATGCTCCTAAATTAAAATGCATGTTTTAATTGCTGCAACTGTAATTTGTTCAGAAATGGTATAATTATGAAGCCTGATGAAGAGAGAATATGCATCATCCTTTTATTATCTTTCTCCATTTTTGTTTTAACCTTTTGTTTCAACCTTGGCTAGAGTCTAAAGAGAAAGATTAGTGTAGTTACTGCTCACTGAAGAAGTACACTTAACCACTGCCTTTTCAGTTTCTGCTGAACAGGATCTTCCATTGTCCCAGCACTAAAGCTGGTTCTAATGTGAAATATACACTGAGAGCAATGACATCAAGATAGCTTTAAAATTGGGGTTTCTTCCCAACCAACTGATTTGGGAAATTTTACTAGTTCAGATGGATTGATTGGTAGATTTTTTTCCCCATCATTTTACATAAAATCTTCCAAACATATGGGAAAGTCAAAGAGATTTCACAATGACTAGAGTGCCCACCATGCTAGTAACATTTTACTAGCTTTATCACATAAATATTTAAATGACTTAACTTTTTCCTTTTAGGGACCTTAATCATTTCAGAGAGAATTAGCACTCTTTTTGCCTAGAGAAAACTACTAATTACCCCAGTTTTAGGCCACATAATAGAAAAATAACGTCTAAATCTATTTCTTATAAATAGTTGATTGGGCCAGACATGGTGGTGCACACCTGTGATCCCAGTGACTCGGGGAGGCTGGAGGCAGGAGGATTTCCAGTTCAAAGCCAGCTTCAGCCACTGAGTGAGGCCCTCAGCAGTTGGGCAAGAGCACAATGAAAAGGGCTATGTATGTGGCTCAGTGGTTGAGCACGACTGGGTTCAATCCTTGGTACCAAAAACAACAAAAAAAAAATTGTTAGTTGAAAATGGAGAACACAGTTCCCTAAACCAGAGCAATGTGATGGTTGTAAAATAACTAAACCAGAACACTGCATCATTTCTTTTAGTTACAGTAGGTTGAGCTTATTACTACATTTTCCTCTTGAAGATCTCTCTTCTTAAGTGTCCACAATTGATTGCTTTTCTTCTCTTCTTCAGAAACGGCCATCCTTCAAGCAAATCATTTCTATTTTGGAGTCCATGTCCAATGACACCAGCCTTCCTGACCAGTGTAATTCTTTCCTGCACCACAAGGCAGAATGGAGGTGGGTGACCCTGGTGCCCAGTCCCAGCCCTGGCTTCAAAGGTCCATCACTAACTTCAGTAGAGAAAAGGACCAGAGACGCTGACCACAGTCTGATTGCTAAGCATAGCACAGAAACAACACATAAAAAAAGTCATAAGATTTTGGAGATCTGATTAGTCTTCCATTTCATAAGTAAGCAAGAAAGTGTGTTTCTCTAAGCTTGTTGCCTTAGTATGTTACCAAGTATTTGGAAAGAATATTGAAATCATATCTTCTGAGACAAAAGATGGTTACCAGACATTTCTGTATATACACTGTTAGGAAGCTTTGGCCTCTAACCAGTAAGAAATAAAAATACCATTAGCCTTGAAGTTTGAAGTTCTCTCTATGTGCTAGTTAGAGGTTAGAAAGACTATACAAACACTTCTAAAAGAAAACTCTAGATGTTATAAATCCTATTAAAATTTCTTAAGTGTAAAACAAACTTAGTAATGAGAAAATCGTATTATCTGAGTGGAAAAAGTAAGCCAGGGTGAAACATTTGCAACAGGTCACATGATGCAGGAATATAAATAGCGTGTTTGGGAGCTGACACTACTCCTCCCCTGACGCTGCAGAGATTTTAAGTAACTTCATCTCTGCTCCTGACAGCCCTGGCAGTAAGTGACGCCTTACGCCATCTGCTGATGCCAAATGAATACTGCACATACTGTGAAAATATGAGTTGTTTACTGCTGTTGTTAGACATTTCTTAGGGAATTCTGTTGGTGTTTTACAGTGCTCTTATTTATTTATTCTTTTGAAATAGCTGTGTAGGGCCAGTGAATTCAATGAATTTTTATTTAGGAATACAAATGTAATACAGTAAAAAGTGTAGGTATGGAGGCTAGAGTTGTAGCTCATAGGTAAAATAAAGACATTGTGTCCATCTGTGACCAGAAAAAAATTTTTTTAAATGTATAGTTATGAGGGACTTTTTTTTAATGTTGAAATAATTAACAAAACAGAACAAGAAAGTAATGTTTCCTATATTAAGAGGTGAGTGCACACCTAATCAATTCACTCCCCTGAAATCCATACATGGGTTCCCATTGCTCCTAAGAGAAATACTTCAGAGTCAGGAAATATTTCAGAGTCAGGAAACCCCCTACTTTGATTTCACTAGTCTCATCTTAACAGCACCAGTCTGCCCCTTAGTTTCTGGCCTGCAGTCCCACAACAGAGGAACATTTCTGCTTTACTCAGAGTCTCTGCAAGCTCAGTTTCCTAGTTTAAAGCCATCCCATCTCAGTTACACTACACCTGACCCCATCCCGCACCCCAGCTCCTACTGGCTTCAGTGGCCACTGGACCAGGAAGTGTACCCTGAGCCAGGAAGGTACCCTGACTCTAGGTCAGACCATTCCCACCTGCATGCTCTACAGTTTATTGTTTAATGTTTCAGTGGCTGAAACATTGGAGGGGTAGGCATTACATTATCTTTGTTTATCACTCATTGTCCCCACAGCATCTAGCATGTGCCTTGAACATAGTAGTTGCTCAATAAATACATAGGGAAGGAAGAAAATACCATAACGATGATAACATAAAAGACATTATGCCCTTGCACAAGAAAATATAAATACGTAAGTTAATTTTCCCTACAGAAGTCTTTCTTACATTCACTCGTTGGTGTGTTCCTTGAACCTCTGCATTTGGAGACAAGGGTGGTGCCATTCTCAGTATTGGGCTGTAGTAATGAGCATGACCATCCCAAAGCTCATGGTGCAATCCAGCAGGAGAGGCCAATGTTAAACTGCTAAATATAAGTGTACAAATAACTATTTAATTACTGTTTTGACAAGCATTATGACAGAAGTACTGGATATCTGAGAGCATTAACCATGAAATCCAATCTAGTCTGGGGATATAATAAAAGAATTCCCCAAGGAAATGCTATTTGATCTGTTACCCAAAGGATTAATAGGATTTTAACACTAGTATCAATACCTTTGAGATAGGGAGTCTCTAAAAGTATGCCAACAAAATCAGAAAATAAATTGATGTTTGTAAATTTAAACCCTTTAAAAATAAAAATTCAAAACATGTATAAGGCCAAAAGCAATGTCCATCATAAATAAATTTCCAAGTACTTCTCAAACATTTTGGTCTCAGGATCCTATTACACTCTTAAAAATTATTGAGGACTTCAAAAAAATTTGTCTAAGTCATATCTGACAATATTTACCACATTAAAAAATAGAACTGAGAAAAATTTAAAATATGTGTTTATTGATCTGTTTCAAAAACAATAATAAATCCTGCTTCTCAATTCAGCCTATGGCCCTATCACATAATGCCCCTGGAATACTCTGTACATTTATAAAAGAATTGGAGTAGAAAAGGCAAATATGTCTTAGAGGTATTCTGAAAACCAGTCTGACCTCAAGAATCCTCTGAAAAGTTCTCTTAGGTTCCCAGACCGTACACTGAAAAACACTTTGATAGAGAATTACTATCTTTAAAAGAACAATGTAATTAAAATATACTAAAGGACATGAAAGAGCATTTCACAAAACAAGAAATCAAATGATTAATAAACATATGAAAAATATTCAACCTCTCTTAGTCATCAAGTAAATACAAGTAACCATAATTTATTAGATTGGCAAAAATTCACATTATGAAAATGCCTAGTGTTATAGGCCTTCTCATACATTGCTAACAGGGGAAACACTAGCTGCCGGGACAGTTAGATTCCTATAAAATGTTTTTATTCTATGTCCCAGAAGTCCTACCTCTACCATTTTATTCCTAAGAAAATAAACAAGAATGGTATGCAAAAAATGTATAGGCACTTGTTCAGGCAGCCTAATTTAGAATTGCACAACTAGAAGTGGTCTTAAGTACAAAATATGGAAATAGTTTTTTAAAATGATAATATTGCCATATACTAAGTAAAACAGAACCATTATAAACACACACACACACACACACACACACACACACACACGACAAATGATTTTAAAATAGAGGCTACAGTCCAGTTTGTTTAGAATGATTCCATTTTTTTATAAAATAAAGGTGCATTAATAGTATGTATATAAATACAAAGAAAAAGTACCAAAAAGACATTTTTTGCAAGGCATGGCGGTTTATACCTATAAACCCAGCTACTTGAGACACTGAGGCAAGGATCACAATTTCCAGGCCAGCTCAGGAACTTAGTGAGACCCAGCCTGAAAATAAAAAATCCAAAGTATTGGGGCTATAGCTCAGTGGTAGAGTGCCCCTGAGTTCAAATTCCCCCTACCAAAAACAAAAACAGAGTGTTGGGACTGGGGTTGTGACTCAGTAGGGGAGTGCTCAATTCCCACTATCAAAAAAACAAAAACAAAACACAGTGTTGGGACTGGGGTTGTGACTCAGTGGTGGAGTGCTTGCCTAGCATGTGTAAGGCACTGGGTTCAATCCTCAGCATCACATAAAAATAATATGTAAAATGAAGGTATTGTGTCCATCTGCAACTAAAATTTTTTTTTTAAATCCACAGTGTAATCACTGGGTAGTGAGATTATTGAAGAGTGCTTTCTTTTTGTATATCTTTATTTTTTTACTTGTTTTACATTAAGCCTGGATTAGTTGAATGATTAATTTTTTAAAGTCTTCAGGCCAGGTGTGGTCATACATGCCTATAATCCTAACTGTTCAGGAGGCTGAAGTAGGAGAATCACAAGTTGGACCCATCCTAGGCAACATAGGGAGACCCTGTCTCAAACAAAGAATACTTCAAGGTAAAAAATGAGCAAAATAAATTTGATAATAGAGGATGGAGGAAAATATATTAGTATGTTTTTGGAAAATACAGTTGGCCAGGGGGCATCCTTAGTGGCTCTTTCAGGAACTATTGACCCTGCTCTTAGGGCTGGAGAGAAAATGTGTATTTTTTCCTGAACCAGCAAACCATAGATTGAGAATCCTAGAGCTGTTTTAACTGAACTTGGTAATTGGTTAAAGACATGGGGAATAATATCAATTATAATAATAAACACAGTTACTGTTCATGAGGTTCCTACCAGATGCCTGTACTTCATTTGGATTATCTTTTTAAATCCCCATGGCAACCCTAATTGTATCACAGATACAAAAACTGAAGCCCAGGCAGGTTGGATAACTTGCCGAGATCATACTGTACTGAGATGAAGCCTGTAATGGGACCCAGGGGGTCTGGTACACAGGCCACTCCGGCATGTATGCTGCACTGTGCTTTTGCTGGACTGTGGCCACTGGTTATGCCAACTCCCCATTAACATGCAGGATTCATTTAACTGGATCCTGTTTAGCTATGAGTCATATTACAGGGCATGATTGTTTTAGGTTATCATTACAGCAAAAGACTGTCTTACTCAATCTGCCAAGTGCTGAAAAAAATGATGTTTTTATCAAATCATCTGGGTATTTCAAAGGACAACATATTCAGACTACTTCTTGCTTTTCCCCAACTTTTGTGTGGTGCCTAAAGCCATGGGACTGGGGTCCAAAGACTATTTTAGCAAATGAGAGTCACAGTGCAGTCTGCTTCCAATCCTGCTGTGGTGTGTCTGGCAGATGATTGTTTTCTGGTAGAGCTTTCTCTACACATAGACCAGATGGAACATCTATTTTTGGAAAATTAAATGATTCTAAAATTCTTTTTAAAGCTAGATTATTAAAATCCACATAAACTATGTCCTTCTTGTTGGTCTAATAAATGATAAGAAAGAAATCTAGTATCAGCCATTTCCCTGTTCATCAAATCCTCATCTTGATTCTCCTCCTGTTAACATAAGAGCAATAATGGCAGTGAGCATTAAGAACCGAAAGTGTACCCTGTTTGTCCTTTTGCAGTTTTTATTAATCCCTGTGATTATCTACAAACGATGGCAGTCTGCATCGAGTGAGTTACATAGGGTTGTGAGCATTCAGACCCATGTCTCTGGAAAACACTGTTTGTTGTGTTTTTCCTTGGTGACCAAAGTCCTCTCACCGTGACATGCCTTCTTGACAACAAAAAGCTGAGATCAGAAAATGTAATTGTTCCAACTTAGATTTTAGCACAAACATATGATACATAACACTAATGTATATTTATCATGTAATATATATATATATATATATATATATATATATATATATGGTGTGTGTGTGTGTGTGTGTGTGTGTAATTTTGGCAAATAGATCTTTTATTTCAAAGTAAGTATCTATTTAATGAAAGAAGTTAATTACAGTTCATTGCCTGGTCATAGTAATACTACTTGAAATCAACCTCGGTTGGGTTTAGTTTAAGAGAAAACACAAAATTTTCACCAACCAAGACACTTAAAGTATAATTTTAGAACAGGAAGTTTATATAAATGCACCAACAAATGCACTTGATACAGAACAACACACCAACAAAAAGGGAACATCTAGGGGATCAGTGTCTGTCCTTGGGCTTGAGTTTCTTGTGGTACCTAACCTCAGAGCCTTGGGCACAGGAGCCAGAACACAGCTGGGCACCTGGGCCTGAGGAGCAGATGGAGGAAGATCTGTTCAGTCAGTGTTTGTTTGTGTGTCACAATTTTCAGCTTACTTAACTTTTGATCTCTTTTCCAGAAGGGCTCAAAAAACTGCAGTGGGCTCCCAGAGCTGGAACTTGAGATGAGCTCTTGGGTTCAATTACAAGTGAAACAGAATGTGTTGGCCATTTACCCTGACTGAAAAGAACATCAGTGAGATCAGTCTCACTGGCAGGAGAGTTGGGACTGGCTTGAAAAAAGAGCTGTACAGACCAATGGCCCACACCACTGCCATCTCACCTCTGAGCATGCCCAGCTGTGAGGCCTCTTTGCCACCTCTGACTGAAGATAGATTGCTTTTTTCTTTCTTTTTTTCTTTTTGGGTTACAAAGTTTATCCTAACATTTTCCATATTGATTTTTCTCCTCAATCCCTCATTTGAAAAATAAAAGCACACTGTCTGTGAATGGGCATAATATCCTTGTTAGAAATATCAGTGGTTTAATTTGGATATTATAATAGTCTTTGATTCTGAAATATTGCTGCTTCCGGGCCTTATTAGGAACTGTGACGCGATTCTCTTTATGCCTTTTCGAATGGCATGAATGAAAGGGATAGAGTGTTGATATTTGTGGGTGGCATTTACTTGCTGCCTCCCTAGCTGAAGAACTTTCCAGTCAAGCAGAGAAGCAAAGTCTTGGGCCCACATCCAGACCCACCTCAATAACTGTTCCCTGAGTTGGACTTTGCCAGTGAATACCTGGAAACCACTTGTTTTCCTTCATTAAGTTCTTATCTGTAAGAGTATTAGAATAAGCCTCTCACATCCTCTGATTTTCCCTGATAATAAAAAGGCAGATTTTGGTTGCACATATTCATTAACTTTGACCAGGGGGCTCTCCCTTTCACACCTTCCCATCTCCCTGAGGGTGCAGTCTAAGGCACGGGGGCATAACTGTTGGCAGCACTCAGGAGCCAATAGACATGGCACCGATTTCCCACTTGCCACCTGTTCCTCCTTTTTGTCTTCCTATCTGTGGGCCTTCCTTCCTGGCCTCCCCTTCCCTCTCCCCTTCTCCCAGTCCCGTCTCATCCCCTCATTACTGTGGCTTACTTACCAGCTCTTCAGAAACTCAAGGAAAGAACTTCCAGTTCTCCAAGCGTAAATTTAGACATCATGACAGCCCTGCAGGAGAAAAAAATTTGTGCCAAGCCATGTTAGCAATTTCCCTTGCTGTGAAGAACAGGTTTCTATTACTGGGCACGTTGTTCCAAGTGTGAGGTTGGTGGGCCCAGAGAGATGAAGCAAAAATCTTCCTTTAAACATTATTAAGAAAGAGATCTTCAGAGCTCCTCTGGCCCACAGTGTCCTATACTTACCTGATTGTAAAGACTTTCCTGAGTTTTTATCAAATAATGCAAGTCCTTCCCAGCCCCCTGTCTAATGAATCATGAGCTCCAAGGAAAGGGAATCTGTGCTTTTGTTGTTTTGTTGTTTTCAACAAGCTGCCCTGATCTTAGGATCAGGCAAGTTATAGAGTCTTGATATGCTATAACCACCACCCCTCCAATCAAGGAAGCTGAGTCAGATTAATCTTTTGATTGCTAGGGTTGCTCAGCCACAGGTAGGCTAAAGTGCCATCTCAATCACTTGCCAACAGTATGATGCTGATAGCCTAACCTGAGTGTCATTTTCCCATCCATAATACAAATTAGTAACTGTTTGTTGGGCTGTTCTGGGAATAAGATGAGATACGTAATGTGCTTTATAAACTCTATAAACAGCTCTCTGACTATAGGCACTCACTAACGACTATCCTAGGACACCAGCTCCAGGTTACGCTGCATCCCACGACTCTTTGATGCTTTGTTGCAATACTTTGAGCATGTTTTTCCAAACCAGAAGCTACCTGTTGATTTTTAAGGATATAGAAGATGCCTGCTTCCCTGGTTATTTCCTGGTCAACTTCAAAACACACGCATTAGTCTTTTACTCTGAGCATTCTGATGGACCCTGTAGTAGAGTTGAGACTTACCAGTTGTCCTTGTGCAGGTGTGAAATTGAAGCAACCCTGGAGAGACTAAAGAAACTAGAGCGTGATCTCAGCTTTAAAGAGCAGGAGCTCAAGGAACGGGAAAGACGGTTAAAGATGTGGGAGCAAAAACTGACAGAGCAGTCTAACACCCCGGTGAGTACTCGCACCCTGCTTCCCACGTGCAGCATTAGAATGTGGCTGAGCATGGCAGCTCTTCTCCTGTCCTGCCTCCTCCTCACTTCCTGCCTTACGCCTGTGTGCTAAAGGCCTCCATTTGTAGCAACTAGTATAAATGATCAAAATGCCAGAAATTTAAAAGAAAAGTCCTGTCCTATTTCTGGCTTTTTCCCTAAGAAATGTTATTCTCTCCATGTGCTTGTCTATTAGACTTACAAAAATAAAATCTGATGTATTTTCACACCATCTGTTAGGTCCCCAGAACATGTGCCTAAATGCTGATTAACTCTTTATTAACTTCATCAGTAATTAATAACTAACTCCAAGGTAGCTAAGAAAGTCTTTGTGCCACAATTCAACCACATTTTTCTTCTAAAATAGAACTAGCCTGATGGTGTTAATGTTCCTTGCTCAATTTAATGTTATGACCATGGCAGCAAAATATTAGAAAAGCTTAGGATATGCTTCTAGTATATTCTATATCCAGGAAGAGTCTTGATTTTTCCCAAGTATTATATTTAGAGAAAAAAAATTCTTTTTAAGGATTTTACTATGTACACACTAGCCTTGAGCTTACATTCTAACATAATATGTTAAAGTCTAAGCAGATTTCAGCATTCTTTTCTGTTTTAAATGACTTGTTTCTAGCAACTAAGTACAAATTTATCTGTTTTTCCAGGACTTTTAATGGGAAATATTTTCCCACTCAAAATCACAATGATAGAGTAAAAGTAAACTTATATTTTTATATTTTTGATAGTTGCTATGACAATTATACCAAATAACTTAAATTCCCTTTTTTAATTTATATATTTATTCTAATTTGTTGTACATGACAGCAGAATGAATGCATTTCAGTTCATAGTACAAATATAAAGCACAATTTTCCTAAATGCTCTTCCTTTTGAAATATTTGAAAAGCTTTTCTATAAGTCTTAATCTTCATTAAGCAGTCAGTGCCCAATTGCAAATATTTCCCAATGTCTAAAGAGTAAAATAGTTTGTCTTCTTTTCCAACTTGTGTAGAAAATCAACCTGATATCCAAAAATGAAAACACAAAGAAATTAAATGTCCATTATCAAATTTAACTTTTTTAAAAAAAGATTTTTATAATCCAGTGGACCCCAAAATAAGAGTTTAATAGCTATACATAAGACTATCTTGGGACATTACAAAGGTACATTTTCTAAATTTCTAGATTTCACTGGTTTTCAAGTAAGGAGTAGAGGGAAGTTTCCTGATGAGGTTGAATTGGTGCTGGCAGGCAGACTAGAAAGCACTACCCCAGGGATCTGCACAAGAGCCCTACTTTTCTAGGCTGATGAGGGACAGGAGCAGGAATGGGCCCTTGTCCCTGCAAGCACGTCCTCTGAAGCCTGAGAGGATTTTTTTTTTTTTTCAAATGCATTGAAATCTTAAAGCACACTGCATGGCTTGACTCTTTCTAAAATGTAGTATTTTAAGAAAAAAAAAAACTTTAAACCACCTATTAGAGTATGCTTTGGAACCTTTCTTTGAATTATTGGCATCAGTTTTGCTAAGAAATTATGGGCTGCCTTGCACACATTATTGCTATTAGTAACATAGTTGTGTAATAAATAATAAAACGCTATGAGTGCTCAGTAGGATGTATGCTTGCATTTTAACTCCAGAAAACTTTCTGTAAAGGAACTGCTCTGAGGGCCACCATCTAACAATGGACAGCATGAAGCACAATCTCAGTGAGATTTCCTTTGCTTTTCTTACTTATGAGGTCTAAGTTTTCTTTCTTTATAGTACCTGCTTTTAATGTCTCCTCTGCTTAGAGCTGGTATTTCTGAAGGAAAGAAAGTTTATGCTCAGATATTTTATAAGTAGCTGTTTTCTTTTATCCTCACTTCAGTTTCTAGTTGGCTTTAAATGAGATTACTGAAAGATAAAATAAATCTTTGAAAAAGGAAGTGGCTGGAAGCTGAGGTTTTCTGTATGTAGCCTCGTCTTAATTACAAAACTTTAACATTTATGTAACTTCATAAAAACCATTTATTGAACTGATTTCAGGGACACTGTTTTCTAAAATTAAAAGTTAAAGATACTTGAGAAGATGAGTTCTCTATGCATAAATAAGGATGATGTTTCTTTTTTAACTACTATAGCTTGCTGTAAAATTTTAGGAATAAAATCTTATTTGAGGGACATTTGGAGAAATCTTTGGTGTCTAACATAACATGAGGAAAGACCTCTGAAATAATAAAATAAATAAGCAACCAAAAGTTCCTGAGAGGATCTAATAATTAAAAATAAATTTGAGAATCCAAGAAGGGTGCCAACAAGGGAAATCACATCCTGTTTCCAATATTTAAGGATCAAAAGCAGCTTTTTTCTTCCATATACCTGGTGCTTTTTAGCTGAATTATATGAAATTATTTCTGAACTAACACTTCTGGGAGTCTTCCTAATAGAATGAGCTGTTTAAAAAAAGAAACAACAACAACTCAGATCCAACTTCAGTTTAAAAACTAAGAAACTGGTACTAAGTATTGGGTAACTTTATACCCAGAAAGTCAGGGTCCTCCAAGAGTTAGGTGACTTGTAGATCATAAACTTATTCATATTAAACCACACCAGAACTACAAGCCTTCATTTGCTTATTTCTTAAGAGGAGGCTGGAACATTTTACATATCCTAACTCTGGTATGAATATGACTGAACATTTATGGGAATAGGTTGGCTGTCGAAAATAATTATGTAAGATTTTTTTAAAACATTTTTAACCTGTGCAAAAGAGAAATCTTAGGGGGGAAAACAAGTTCTATTAAAAGGATGAAACTTGAATATTTGAGGATGAAGAAAACAGTAATCTAAATGAATATTCCCTCCCCCCATTTTCACATACATTTACATACTTGTGTAGAACTGAAAAGTTAGACACATTCTAGAATTTATTCACAAATAAATTATTGAATAATTTGGACAAATAGTACTACATAACATCTGGCTGAAGTAAATAATACAAGGAAGCACATGGATTCTAGGCTCATTTTTAGTGCATAATCAGAATACTAAATCAATTTAAAAGGTAATTAACAACTCAAATTCTCCTTGAACTACATTGAGAACAGAATTGATTTTATACTTCCTCTGAGCTTTTCTTCCTTGGTACAGAGTTTCTTAATTTTTTACTTGAGATTTTGTGTCTGCTTAACTTCTTCTTCTTCTTCTTCTTCTTCTTTTTTTTTTTTTTTTTTTTTTTTGATATGATGGTTTACTAAATGTTTCTATGTGGAAGTAAAATTGGGAAAAATTAAGAGAAATTTCAAAAACTATTTTGTTTTAAGCAAAATGAAGGCTGAGGACTTGCCTCTTCCTGTCCATTTGAAATTTTGTTTCCTGTGGTGCTTTGCAAACTTTTGTTTATGATTTACTCTGTCATTCATAAATTACGGCAAATATGCTGGAGCTAAATCTGCCATTAATTAAATTCTCACCTATTTCCCTACATTCATGGATTTCACTAATCACTTACTTCCTGTGTAGTACCAACTAATTTTGTGGTATCTATTTTCTTATTTAAATTGGTCCTAATTTCTCTTTTTACTTCTGTCCTTTCTTCCCCTTTGATAGCTTCTCTTGCCTCTTGCTGCAAGAATGTCTGAGGAGTCTTACTTTGAATCTAAAACAGAGGAGTCAAACAGTGCAGAGATGTCATGTCAGATCACAGCAGCAAGTAACGGGGAGGGCCATGGCATCAACCCAAGTCTGCAGGCCATGATGCTGATGGGCTTTGGGGATATCTTCTCAATGAACAAAGCAGGAGCTGTGCTGCATTCTGGGATGCAGATAAACATGCAAGCCAAGCAGAATTCTTCCAAAACCACATCTAAGAGAAGGGGAAAGAAAGTCAACATGGCCCTGGGGTTCAGTGATTTTGACTTGTCAGAAGGTGACGATGATGATGATGATGACGGTGAGGAGGAGGAGAATGACATGGATAATAATAGTGAATGAAAGCAGAAAGCAAAGTATTAAAGTTGGAAATGTTCAGAAAGAAAAAAAGGAAAGAAAATTGTTCTCTCAGTCTACATAAATAACAGTAAGGAGGCAGAAAATCAAGCACTGCATTGTTAGGCCAATCACATTTACAGGACAGTCATTTCCTTATCTATTTAACTTTTGATTGATTTTTGCTTATAGAAAGGGGGAATGATTAAACCAAAAAGATATATTTATGAATCAGCAAATACGGTGCCTGATTATAGAAATTTGTGCTTCTATATACAATATAGTATTTTTAAACTAATGACATTCTGGCTTTCTCTTTTTTTAATGAATATTTTATAGTTTATATTTGACTTTATTTTATTCCCTTTATTCACTTAGATAAGAAAACTTGCATTTTGAACAAGCACCCTTCACTCCTAATTCTTTTTTGACACTTGATTCTTCTGGAACATATTACATTTTTTTTTCTTATGACAATGTATTGTAACGTCAAAAATGATTGATAGTGACTATAAAATTCAACCACAAAAAGATTGACATGAAAGAAGATTGTAAGAAAATGCTTCTTCAGAAATACCTAAATGCCAAGAATCTTTAATACTTAACAGCACAGCTGCTCAAAGTGCTACCTGGGAACTGTTTTCAATAGTCCATTTGAAGGTAGATACTCTATTCTGAAGCCAACAGTAGGTGGTGGCTTGCATACCAGAGCTAACCCAGGAAGCACTTTAACAACAACACACCATCATATAAGGCTTATCCACGGAAAGGGGGTGTGGGGGGGCACCTGTCCCAAAGGGATACTCCCAGGTAAGCACATACTAAGCACCGGCCTGCTCTTCACTTCCAGTAAGGGCACTCTGCATGACCTTTTCTTGGTTTTCCAGAGGGGTGTCTTAATACTGATTTCAAAATATATGTATCGATATCTTAAAGAAGAAAGTAAATGTTTTAAAATGAAAGCAAAGATAAGTCACCCTTACTTAGGTATAAGCAAATTCTGAAGGGTGCTTTCTATATCCAATCTAGTTTCTCAGAGTAGTTTTTTGTTGTTGTTGTTGTTGTTGTTTTAAACCTGTTCAGTGATGCTGGTATTTCAGAGAAATTGACACAGGTGCTGCTCTAAATATGAGGCTACAGAAATATACTCAGAATGATGTCATAGGTTTGTCAGAGCTCATTTAAATTATAAAACACCATTTTTAAAATTGTAACTAGATAAAGAAAAGCAAAAGAACCAAGTTTTTTCTAACCTAAATTGAAAAGCAGACAATTAAACAAATAGTCAAATTAAACTTGACTATTAAACAAAACTACTTTTAGCAGTTTATTATATTAAAGTTAAAAGAAAGGATGTCATCATGGATATTATCTAATATTATTTCTAAGTATATTCATAAAAGGGTCTTTTAGAATTTGAACTATGATGTTCTTTTAATTCCCATTGAGAACTAAAAACTCTACCAAATGGTCAGTGTGCTGTGCCACTGACCATTATATAGGGAGAAATCACTAGTAAAATGTTGTAGGTCTCTACTTGCTGTGCAACCCTGGGCACAGTATTTAATCTCTGTGAGTCTGTTTGCTCATCATTAACATGGGAATAATAGTAACCTACTTCAAAGACATGTCATGAGGATTAAAAGAAATAATATGTATAAGGCACTTAACTCAATACCAAGCACATGGTAAGTGGCCAGTTAATGTCAGCTCCTATTAATTGTGCCAGTGAAAAGACACTGAAAAATAAGTGGTTTTAGTAACCTTCTGGAAAACTGAACTGTCAATTTCAAGTGATACTGCTTAGTACATGAAGTGAAAATTAAAAATGAGTAGCTCTCAGGAAAGAAAGAGAATATTCTTAGAATGTAAACTGTAAAAACTGATTTAATTCAGTTGCTCTTGGGGAAACTCTGAGCCCTGACAGGTGCCCCAGACGGTGTAGTTTGCAGGTTGCACCACCAAATTGAGCATATACAGAATGAGCAGGTAAACCTTTGCCCTGGAAGATGGGTCCTCCTCACACCTCTGCTGTAACTCCTCTGTCTGTTCACATAAGATCCAGATGCATGGGCAGCCTGTCTGCTCAGAGACAGAGACGTGCTCCCCACACTAGCCAGGCCGTGCAATCAGAACATCTTGGTGGAGCAGAAGAGATACCTTGTAGCTCCTCACTTTTCAGGGTCCCTTGGAACCTAAAGGAGAGAGCAGAAGGTGTGGGGTTGTAAAAGCTCGTAGATCTTTTCCAGGCAAAAATAAAGCCATTCATTCCATAGATATTCACTGAACCCCTTCTCTGTTACAGGTAATGTTTTGGGGAAGAGCTAGGGGAAGAAAGCTTTTTGCACTCATGGAGCATACATGCTATGAGCAGAGAAAATGCATCATGTGATATGTTAACGTTTACTGAACAATGATTCAGGAAGGAGGAGAAGGCCAGTGGAGGAGGCTGAGGTTTTTAAAGTGTGGTCAGGAAATGCCCCAGTGATGGGTGACTTTGAGCAAAACTGAGGAAGCCAGGACATCTCTGTGCATGGCAGGATCTTGTGTAAGAATGTGAACCAACCTTACCACCTCTTAAGAACAATCCAGGGTAAATCTAGAACATATAAACAGAATGAAACTGACATTTTCTTAATTATCATATAAATCCATGTGATTATAAATAAAGTTGTGGTGCATTAAAAGCAGCCAAATAGGACCAAAAAAGGAGAGTTATAGGAGTCTGTATGTAGACCTAGGTTTATCATTAATTAGATAGCACATCTCCCACCTCTTAACTGCTGCCATTTTCCTCACCAATATTCCAGAGATGTCATAGCTCAATACTCTGCTTAGTAATATAATGTATTATCATTAAGGAAAGACATGTAGTACGTTACAGAAGAATCAAGTGTCAAAGAAGAATTAGGAATAAAGGATGCTTATTCAAAATGCAAGTTTTCTTGACCAATTGAATTGAGAGAATAAAAGTCAAATGAAAACTATAAAATATTCAGAATAGTATGAAGTGAATACATGCTGTGCTTTCCAGAGGAGCATAATAGTCCTGGATTCTAAGCATGTGCCATTAAAAAATTGCAAGGATTTAGGATACAGCAGAATTGGCTCAAAATTGTTCTTCATCTGGAATTGGACTATATGGCTTTGGCTCTTTTAACTTTTTGTTCCAAATCAGGGTCCTAGTGGTTTTAAAATGGTAAAACATCCCTGAAATCCAAATCACATAAACAGAATTTTGCAGTGCTCTCATTCTGTCTAGAAAGATTATTTAAAAGACTTTAGATATTGCTAATTTTATTAATTTTAAAAAGAAATGCCTATTAACCATGTGTAGAATTTCTAAAGATGTTAATTGTACAGCTTCAAATTTCACTTTTCAGATCAGTTTTTGAAATGGCAAATTATCAGTATTAGACTTAGTTCGTTTCTTAACAAAAATGTACATTTCTAAAGAGACGAGTTAAAGAAACAGAAATGTAAAGATTCAAAATGAGAATTGAAACTCTAAATTGTAATAATTGTCAGAGTCATACAATTGAAAATGTATCACCTTTTGCCTTTTTTTCTTTAGTCACAAAGTTGAGCATGTAGAATTTGATAACACCCTACTAGTGGCTCTCACCTGGAGCAGCAGTGTGTCACCTGATGGTGTTTGGGGTGGAGATTGGGGCTGAGACACATTTTCAGTTGTCACAATAACCAGGGCGGTACATAGTACTCCTGCCAAGACTGGTAACATCCTGCAAGCCAGGGACATTCCCACCCTGTAAAGAATTCTGCCCACAATCTCCATAGCATCGTCCCTTCCCCAGTAGGAAACTCATTAGATCTGGCAGTTTTAGAGTTCTACCTCTTAATTGTTTTCCCCAAATGAAATTACCCAAATTCAAAAAAGAAAGAATGGAAATAAAATAAATTATAACAACTAGAGGCTCGGGTTATAGTTCAGTGGTAGAGTGCTTGCCTAATGTGTGAGGCACTGAGTCTGATCCTCAGCACCACATAAAAATAAATAAAATAAATGTATAAAAAATTACAACAACTACACAATCGAAATTTTGTGATTTCATCTCAGATCCACCATTTGTGGAAATGGTTTCATGGTGGGGCGGGCAGAGGGGGCACTCTCTATTATACTGATCAATGATGCCACAATATATAAAAAGAAAAAGTATTCATTATGTTAGTTATAGTTCTTTGAAAAGTTGCCAGATTAATTTAAAAGGCCCTTTTCCTAACAGCATATTTTTTAAAGCAAAATCACATTTTAATATTTTATGTAAATAACCAGTGGGAAGAGTTTGAAGGCACATAGCACAACTGTTTTTAATGTTCTGGAAATATTGAGAGTGATTTGTTTTAACATGCAGTGGGTTTTTTAGACTTCAACACCAACTGACATACTCAAACTTGGTCCCCATTAAAATCAAAGGAATTGGAGGTAGGAGAAGGGTTTAGGAGAGACCCAGAATGACTTCTCTTAGCCTACTATGTACATAACTTTGTTTTTCAGAGTTTTTATTAGATAAGAGTTTTATAAAAGACAGTTTTAAAACAGTCTAAATTAAATATTGACACTATTTTTCTTTGGATCATTGTTCCACTACATTCGTTAGCTGTGTAAAACTAGTAGTGTCTCACTATAACACATATATAAGAGAGCATAATTTTTCTATGATCAGGCACCTTTTGCTGCTTTGAGTAAGACTGTTTTCCTGTTTAGATTTTAAGCATTGCCAGAGAGGTGAATCTGCTCTATTCATCTGATTGTAGCATAGCCTGAAAACTCTAGGTGCAGTATTTCTATGATGAAAATGAGTGGTCTATCAGAAAATCTGAAATCTGGGGGCTGGTCATTTTCTCAGACCCTAGCTTCACAAGACCTCTGTTGCCTGTGAGGAACTTTCTGGCATGTGATTACTTACTTCATGCACTTACACTAATTATTTTATATCGTGTGCAGAATAATATATCTTTTAATATTAGATATGATACACTGCACATACTGCTTTTGCACTCTTAAAAATTTTGTACTAAATGATAGAAAATATTTATATTCTTTGAGTGTGAGCTTTGAATAGATGGCATTATCACTTTATTGTTTTTTTTTAACAAAAACCTTCTCTTAGTTATTCTAATGCATTGTTATTCTGAGCAAGTCATATGCCAAATATCGTGTATAATGTTTGTATGGAAGATTAAATTTTACTCTCGTGTGGTAAGACTATTCAGTTACTGCCTTCATAGTTGGAATTTGATATTCCAGCAAAAATTCCACAATGTATTCAGAAATCCAAGTTGGTGTCATACATTTCATTTTGATGTGAACTTTACTTTGCTTTCCTTTGTTCTAAGACTCCATTTTGCAATAAACGTTTTGACAGTAAATCCCTTTGTTATGTGTTGCTGTGTATATAAGATCTTTGTTAAAGTGGATTCCCAACATCCTTTGAAGGAATCATTGTCACACACATGCACATGAGTGTTAGCTTTTTTCTCCTGAAGTCAGTTGGAGTGTAAATAATGAATTTCTAAAGTGATGGGGCAGTCATGAGGGATTTTTTTTTTTTATCCCCAAAGAAAGAAAGGCTTAGAACTCATCCTTCAGCAGATACACTGATATGTTAACAAGGTACAGAAAACATAAAGGAAATGGTAAACCACTATGTGGCTGGAGATCATTAACTCTTATCCCCTGTCTTGCCAAATTCAAACCGTCTTGAAGCAGCGCCTGGCTCCAGCTTCCTCTCACTGATCTTTGTGTGCCTCATGCAAGGACTCCTGCTGGAGTGAGTCAGACCCAGTCCAGTGTCTTTCCCTGGCACTGTGTGGGCTGAGCCCTCCTCAGAACTCCACTCTCCTTTGACATTCAAACCAAAGATGTTGGTTATTTCACTTGCAACCTTTTTTCTATTCAAAAAATACTTATTTCTCAATTTAATTTAGCACATTTGGAAATTGTACAAAAATCAAAACATCACACATGCCCCCGTTTCCTGTAAAAGCTGGCCTCAATGCAGGGAAATATTTCCACAATGCAGCCTGGTGTTTCTTGAACTAATGAGAAAAGTTCCTTATTTCACATTTGTGTCCATGATGGGAGAAGGAACGACATATTTCTGCAGCTGGATACAGCTGCACTGTGAAGAAATAAAACTTGTCATGTATTTTCTTTGATCAAGTTCAGCCTTAGATTCAATCCCTTGAGTCTTTCTCTTCTCCACATTGTTATAGCAGGTGAGTGTGTTGGATGATTCCTGCATAACTCCAGTGTTTCAGAGGAGGGAAGGGATACTCCTTGAGGTAATCGAAGCACGTGGAGGGTAGCTGAGTATACATAGAATAGTTTGGGTTGAAGTGTAAGCTTTGTGTCTTTGCAACTTGTCTATATTACTCAAACCTACACATTTATATTGATTTTAACCTGTAGGAATTTAAAAAAAAAATCCTGTTCTGCACACTGCTGCCACCCCCTCCCATCTTTTGCATTCCCCCTTTTTCCTCCAAATGTGAGCTCCCAGAATCTTCACTTAGGCGAACATGCCACACCCATCCTCCCTCTTTCCCTCTTCCTGGCCCCCGCAAGGTTTTGCCTTGTTACTTCTCATCTGGAATCACTTCTCTTCGCCCTGCAGCACCCAGCTCAAGCACCTGTGCCTTCCATTCTCCCATGCTACATATGGAACCCTTTGCTAATACACTGGCTTTTGTACACCACAGACACTAAACTCCATACCAGAGAATTTAGCATTTCAGTACATGCAGCCTTCAATTTTATTCATTCTACAAAATGGTTCAACAAAAATGTACCAGGTATGGTTTGGTATTCTAGGTACTGAATAAACAATGGTGAAGGTGGCCTTGGACTGTCCCACAAATCATCCACACCTGTTTCACCTTTAGTTCTATTATAAGCTCTTGAAGGAGCTATGCCTCTCCTAGCAGTCTTGAGTATGTGAATAAATACCTGCAGGTTAGAAAGATTAAATAATCCACCCTCTGGTCATTAACATTAATAGTAAAAGCAACAAAATTCAGCTGCTGCTTTTCAACTCATCCACACAAAAATTATGATTTGTAACAGGTTGAGTGACACTTTGACATGTTGTGAAGAAGCCAAGCATTGTGGCTTGAGCTCTAATCCAACCCATAGGACACACAGATTTTTTTTTAATTAGGTAAGCATTTATTATTTAGACTGATCATCAGGCCTACACTGAACAGGAAGCTCTTTGGGCTGAAAATGGTGTGGGCTGAAAGTCTCCTTCGTGCTTGTGCACCTGGAAGCGAGGTGTTTTAGTCTGTTAGTGCAACTCTGCACCTGGGTTTCTTAGAACAGTTCTAGTTTTGCATGTCTTACTTCCTCCCTGGATCCTGATATTTGGTATTAAAGAATATAATGCAAGTGATACAGTTAAACACTTAAACCTCCCTCCGCCTATGAGAATAGGCATAATAAGTCATCTGGTTACCAAGTGCTTGCTTTGGAATTTTCATTGATAAATTGATCCTCATGTTGACTGAGAATTCTGAGGAAGTCTTGGTATCTGGTAAACGTAAAAAATTCCTTAACTGCTGAAGCTTTGTTACAGGATATAAAACCATTCCTAATGTGCTAAGGACCAAGAGAAGTACATACCAAGTTGTAGAAAATCCCCCCCTAAACAGCTCACAAAATGCAACAGATTGTTACTAGAGATTGATACACATTATTGGCTTCTGGGGTCTAAATCCCTAGAACAGAGAACTTCCTTGTAAGGTCAGGGAAATTGCTTTCCATTCACCCTGACCTGCAGGAGGAACCATGCCAGAGCAGCCACTGAAAACCGAGTAAGATGAGAGGCTAAACCAAAAAAATGAGGATATTACTTTTTTTTTTCATGTCATTCATATTTCCCACGCAGCTGCTGCCTTCCTTTGAGATTGGTGCATGGACTGAAGACGACGTGGTAAGCTGCTTCTGTTAATGCCTCAGTGCACCTGGGCAGGTGTCTCACACATTTTTGTCCACAAGTTAAAAAATGCAACTAGAGGGAATTGGGCCATAGGAAAATCTAACTATCAGAAGTTGACAAATTTCATTTTTCCCTGTTTTTGATACAATAATAATGGAAAATGAGGCCTCCCTAGACAAGCAACTATCTCCTCAAATCTTCCAAATCTTCACCTTCCCATTGGTCATGAAACTACTCCAGAATATAATAATAAGTACCAATAATAAAATTAAAGCAGTGACCCAGGAAACCAAATGAACATTCTTGGAAAAACTTTGACTGTAAACCTTCCTAAGATGCTAGGTATGGACTTGAGCCATAGTGTAGAAGGATCTAGTAAAGGCAGTGCTGGTCTGGGATTTCCCCTGCACTGGGTTTCCTTCCCGCCTTAGGCCTGCTCAAAAGTGACAGCTTCATATTTGCCATCCTTGCTCTGGCCTTCCCCAGGAGGAATGGACACAGTGCTCTCAGACATCCTCTGCAGCCATAGCCAGAGGAGCTCCAGGATGAGAGGATGCTGAGAGGATGCGGGCAGAATATTTAAGTCCAAAGGAAGTCTTCCGCACCACGCTCCAGGTAGAAGCCCTGAGGAACAATCCTACTTATCTCCATATCTGTTTCCTTAGTGACAAAACAGGTATGAGAATTCCTGATCGGAGCCCTCAGGGACTTAGGCCTGTCCAGGTCTGTTCTACAAGCTAGAGGGCATCATTAAATGAAGAAAAAATATAAAGATGGAGCATAGTCTTCACAGGCTGAACCCCATCTCAGGGAATAGACCCAGTGCCTCCAAGAATACTCTCACTGCTAGATCCCCTTCAGAAGCTCCACTCACCTAGCCCAACCCGATTTGTGGGCCAGGGCATTTCCCTTTCTGCCCTTTGT